GACATCTCGATTTCTTCCAAAGTGAGCGCGGAGTCCAGGACATGCGGAATCCACCTCTGGAATGGATGTGCCTTCCGCCGAGCTTGGGTCCTGGCGGAGGTTGAACCTAATGCCACCACGTGGGCAGTCAGTGGCAGAACCCTCCTTTAGATGTGAGTGATATGGTGTAAGAGTTATAAGGCTACATCCTCCCCACCCCCCCACTCCTCTGGGAGCAAAATGACCTGGGTTCAAAGCCTAGCTTAGCCATTTAGTAACTATGTGACCTTGGGCAGATGAGGTAACTTCTCCCATAACCTCAGTTTTCTCCTCTGCAAAATGGGGATATCAGGCTTCCTGGAGGACTGAACGAGTCACTATAGTTACTTCATTTCTCTTTTGAGCCTGGTAGAGAGAATTGTGTCCCCCAGAAAGATACAAGTCCTACCCCACTGCGCTCCCCTCACCTATCCCCCCAACAGCTGAAAACGTGACGTCATTTGGGAGTGGATGATTACAGATGTTAAGGTGAAGTCATGCTGAAATAGGGCGGGCCCTAATCCAATGACTGATGTCCTTATAAGAAAAGGGAATTTAAAAAATATATTTTATTGATTTCTTACAGAGAGGAAGAGAGAGGGATAGAGAGTTAGAAACATTGATGAGAGAGAATCATCGATCAGCCACCTCTTGCACACCTCCCACCGGGGATGTGCCCACAACCAAGGTACATGCCCTTGACAGGAATAGAACCCGGGACCTTTCAGTCCGCATGCTGACGCTCTATCCACTGAGCCAAACTGGATTTTTTAAAATGTATTTTATTGATTTTTTTACAGAGAGGAGGGGGAGGAGTAGATAGTCAGAAACATCGATGAGAGAGAAACATCGATCAGCTGCCTCCTGCACACCCCCCACTGGGGATGCACCCGCAACCAAGGCACATGCCCTTGACCGGAATCGAACCTGGGACCCTTTAGTCCGCAGGCCGACGCTCTATCCACTGAGCCGAACCAGTCAAGGAAGAAGAGGGGAATTTGACCCAGAGACACACAGGGGAGGAGGCCCCGTGGAGACAGACACAACAATTAGAATGATGTGTCTACGGCCCTCCCTGCAGCCTTCAGAGGGAGCGTGATTCTGCTGACACCTTGCTTTTGGACTTTGGGCCTCCAGCATGTGAAATAATAGGACCCTGTTGTTGTAAGCCACATTCCGTGGTCGTCCCTTACAGAGGCCCAGGGGGGAGGAATACGAGCCTCTTTCCACCAGGTGGCAGAAAGCAAGCCGCCATCAACGCCCGGTAATTTGATAAATTCACTTTTCCTGGGGCCAGGTCTGAGTGACCGTGGTCCTGCGTGTCTGAGAGTGGGGGCAGCTGGGGGGCATCCTGCCCTTGAGCCTCTGCCTGTCTGGCCAGTGTCTTCAGAGGGTCCTTGTCCCCTCGCGCTGCTCTTGGTCATTCGTTCAGAGTCCTTCTGCCTACAGGCTTTCTGCAGCTCCTGCCTCCCTCCTGACACGTGGCTGTTGTTTCCACTCACGTGGGCCCCTGGAGGTTCTGGGGGTGGAGGAGAGAGGGGGACAGGGGGAGCCCATCCCCACCTCCATGATGTCACAGCCCCTTCTCCATTCTGGGCTTTTTCTTTTCTTCTTCTTTTTTTTTTAATGTATTTTATTTATTTTTTACAGAGAGGAAGGGAGAGGGGGAGAGAGTTAGAAACATCAATGAGAGAGAAACATCCATCAGCTGCCTGCTACTGGGGATGTGCCCGCAACCAAGGTACATGCCCTTGACTGGAATTGAACCTGGGACTCTTGAGTCCACAGGCCGATGCTCTTTCCACTGAGCAAAACCGGCTAGGGCTCTGGGCTTTTTCTTGACTCCTCTGAATGGCCCACACTCACTCCAGGTGGCTCTGGGGTCCCTCAGGTAGCAGGTCTGAGGTGTCCAGGACAGGCCTGGGAAATGCCAGAGCTTTGGAAATGCAAACCTCTTTTCTCCCAAACTTCCATCCAGACCTTGGATTTCCACCAAAGAAAGCACGGCTCAGAAGCCAAGAAGGAAATCCGTGCTTCCTCCTTTCCTCTTGGTTGTGTCATCCGTCCCTTTCCCCAGAGCTCAAGGAGGCTCATAGCTGGCGGGGCCGGGCTGGGGCAGGCAGGGGACAGTCAAAGAAAGAACCAGCAGGGAACACATACCCACAAAATGTCCAAATATCACCCCCCCCCCCCCACACACACACACACAGGGCTTTCCACAAGTGAGGATGGAATGCTGCCACCAAAGCTTCCCGTTCCTACACGGACCCAGGACTTTTGTTTTCCGAGAGCCTCAGGCCTGTGCCCTTCGGTAAACTTTCTGCAGTGACAGGAATAGTCTAGATCTGTGCTGCCCCAGGCGGACAGTCCCCAGCCACAGGTGACCACCGAGCGACTGACATGAGGCCAGTGCATCGGAGGGGCTGAATTTTTAATTTTATTTCATGTTCATCGTTTTAAGCAACGACAGGTACCCAGCAGAAACCAGACAAGACGAGCCAGCCCCGGATGAGTTAGTGCGCTCAGCTGAGAGTCTGCAACCACAGAGAGGAGGAGAGCCAAGCACACAGAGGGAGGCAATTAGCAGGTTGGACCATAAATAAAATTCGCTTCAATTAAGGGCCGGTTGAGGGATCGTGGGTGAAAACCTATTTTGCGGTTCCTATATGGCAGCCCTCACATCCTCCCCCATAGACCAGCCGCAAAACCCAAGTGTTGTGTTTGCATCAGAGCCTCTCGGGGCCATGTCCCAGGATCCGACTGGAGCTCAGATCAGGGGAAATGGGAACTCCCTGGGTCCTGTGGGATTCTCACCAAGCCAGCACACCTGCCCAGGAGCCTGTGGCTCTCGTGAGGATGTGCTGGCGTCCTGTTGGCTTTAGGTGAATTTTGAACACAGCAGGGCTTAGAGCCACTGGGATTAAAACAAGGTTGACTCGCATTCAAACCACACTTGGAGTAAACAGAACAAAGAAGGGAGAATGGAGGTCTCACCGAGGTGGTGACCTCTCAGGCAGAGCTGAAGGGGAGGGAGGGAGTCCGTGGCTGTCAGACTGTCCCAGGCAGAGGGAATAACTAGTGCAAAGGTCCTGGGGTAAGCCGGATTGACCACTTCATATCTTGAGTAGGCATTTCAAACCAGGCCAAAACAGAGCTTTTAAAAAAAAAAAAAAAAATGTTTTTCTTGATTTCAGAGAGGAAGAGAGAGGGAGAGAGAGAGATAGAAACATCAATAATGAGAGGGAATTCTGCAGGTCCCACACTGGGGATCAAGCCCCAAACCTGGGCATGTGCCCTGACCGGGAATGGAGCCCTGACCTCCTGGACCAAAGGTTGATGCTGGCCAGGTCCAAAACAGAACTCTTGAATCCTTCAACACCCTCCCCCACACACCGCAACCCCCTACCCACTTTTCTCTGACGCAGCCCTAGGCCTAGATGCCTCCCCTTCTTCCCACCTTGGCCTTGAACCTGGAAAAATATGTACCAGCCTCAAGGCCTTTGCAGTAGCTGCTTTCAGTTCTCACATCTGCAGTCCCGGGCTTAGAGGGCAGCTGGGAAAATTCCTGATAAAATGCGCAGCCTCGGGCTTGGCTCGTGAGAAGCGCCGGATAAAGGGGAGCCGTTAGGCTTTCCTCGGAAAGTGGGCTTGAAGCTTCGTTTGCATTGCACGTTATTTAATACCCGAAAGCGTTATTAGCCCATATCTAAGGATTAGAGTGAGAGCGTTAAAGATTCCCCCCGCCCCCATTCCAAGTGCCACCCCCCAACCCCATCTCCTGAGCTAAGCCACTCCGGGGCCTCACGAAAAACGATGGAAAAATGATCGGGCATCTCACCAAACAATGAAATTACCCGCCGCCCAGCCCCTCCCCAGCGGCACCTCCCGACCCCAAGCCCCCCAAGCCCTTCTAAACATCCTCGCCCTCCTCCGCCTCCCAAACTGCCTGCGGCTTTGCATGCCCGCCGCTTGTCCCGCAGTGGGACCGCAAGGGTTAAACCGCGGCCCCGGGTGAGCTGATTGACAGCACGACCAGCGTCCCGGGCGAGCCGACCAATCAGCGATAGCAGTCGCCACCCACGTGGGCGAGCGGCCTTACGATTGGTCGGAGCTGCCGCCTGCCGCCCCCGGAGCCCGAACCCACGTGCAGCTGCCGATCCTTCATTGATCCGCTCGGCGGCGCAGGTGGCGGCGGGGCGGGAGGGGGCGGGCCGGGGCGGGGCCAGGGCGGGCCAGGGCGGGGCCCGACGGGTCAAAAGGGCCCCCCGGGGGAGGCCGGGGAGGGGGCTTCCTCTTGGCCTGAACTTGGCTGACCTCAGTAGTTTCCTTCTTGCTCCTCTGAGCCTCTGTTGTCGAGGAGGTGAGTAGGCCCTGGCCTTTGGGAGGACTCCGAGGTCACCGGGCCGGTGAGGAGACTTGGAGGGGCACCGAGGATGGAAGCAAAGGGACCTGGAGCAACAAGAGGGATTGTGGTAGAGAGAGAGGTCTCTTTCCTCCTGCCTGAGAAATGCCTCTTACTCATCCTTCAAAACCCCTTTCCCATGGCGTTCTCTCGGCCTTTGCGGAATCGCCTCCAAAGCCTGAGGTTAAGCCTTGGTGTTCTTTTCTGGGTTCCCCAATCTCTGACTGCCCTCCCCAAGCCCTGGTTTCCCCAGGCCCTGACTGTCCCCCCCCACACACACACTCACCTCAAAGGGCGAGACCTCAGGGGCCCTACTGTCAATCAGCACAGCTGCAGGCACTGGAGTGTTTGATGAGCGGACATAAACTGCAGGGGATGCAGCGGGGTGGGGTTGGGGGCCAGGACTGAGGACCGGGTCCTGGAGGGGAGACCGTGGTGAGTGGTGTGGGAGGGGGGCAGGAGGGGGGCGGGGGGGGGGAATGGGTGGGGCTGGTCTGTCACTGTCTCTGCCTTAGCTTTCTCCCCTCAGGGCCTTCATTTCCTTGTTGCTTTTAGAGTCCTCTGCGAGAACTACCTGAGAATGACCTCTTCTGGCCAGCCCAGCCCCCAGAGGCACCCTCCAGGGATGGTGAGGCCTCCGGGAGCTTCGGTGAGGGGGGGGGGGGTGTGATATGGCATTAACTTCTGGGGGAGGGGAAGAGCCTGGGAGCTGGGCTCATATCTAATTCTCCTTTTTCCTTTTTTTAAAAATCCTCATCAGAGGATATTTTTTTCCATTGATCTTTTAAAGAGAGAGAGGAGTGGAAGTGGGGAGGAGGGGAAGAAAGAGGGAGAAGGAAACATGGATGTGAGAGAGACACATGGACTGGTTGCCTCCCACACAGGCCCCGGACCAGGACCGGGCCAGGGTCAAATGTGCGTCCGAGGTACAAGGTATGTTCCCTTGGGTGAGAGGCCAACCCGAGACCCTTTGTCTGCAGGCCAATGCTCTAACCACTGGGCCACCGGCCCAGGCTAATTCTCCTCCTTCTGATGGAGGAATATTATGGGGTGACTGGCCAGGCCTTTATATTGGGGTCACTAACCCATCATACTTGACAGGTGCAAACACACTTGCTTTTTACATTTTTTTAAAATAATATTTGGAGAGAGAGGAAGGGAGAGGGAGAGAGAAACATCGATCAGCTGCCTCCTGCACACTCCCTGTGGGGGGGTCTGAGCCCTGACCTGGAATCTAAGGCCCAACCATCTGAGCCACACTGGCGAGGGCAGCATTTGCTTTTTTTTTTTTTAAATATATTTTATTGATTTTGTACAGAGAGGAAGGGAGAGAGATAGAGAGCTAGAAACATCAATGAGAGAGAGTCATCGATCAGCTGCCTCTTGCACACCCCCTACTGGGGATATGCCCGCAACCAAGGTACATGCCCTTGACCAGAATCGAACCCGGGTCCCTTCCGTCTCCAAGCCGACGCTCTATCCATTGAGCCAAACCGATCTCGGCAGCATTTGCTTTTTAAAAATTAAACTTCGTTCTTATGACCCAGGTGTAAAACACACGACTATGTCATCTGTTCTGTTCATGTTTTACAAGCAAAATCCCCCACCCTCCAGAGGTTACTTCCCAGCAATGGCCATTGCTAACAGTTTAGGCTAGGAGTGGGCAAATGTCTTCCATAAAGAAGAGAGGGAATACTTTAGATTTTTAAAGCAAGATGCAAAATGAACGGTAGTCTGTGGTCCCTTAAGTAACGAGGGGGAGAGAGAGAGAGAGGGAGAGAGAGAGAGAAGGCAAATTACCTCCAGGTTCTAGGAGGTCCCACCTCACTCTCCATCCACCTTTGCAGGCTCCTCCTGAGGCCGAGGCGCCGGGCCTGAGCTCTCAGGCCGTCCTGGACCAACTGAAGAAGCAGTTCCCGAGGTGAGGACAGGGCGTGGGGGTCAGAAGTCCCTCTGTGCTCCCAGGCCCCACGGAGGGAGAGACTGACCCAGAAGACAGGACCACTAACGGGGAAGCCTGAAGCAAAGAGGAAGCCAGCAACACTCACCCTGGCTCTTATTTAAACGTTTGATCTTTGTGGTGGTGGTGCGGTGTGACTTGGCATAGATTTGATTTTATAGTTGGATTTAAGTGCAGCATTAAAACTGTGTTCACCTGGATGCTGCTTTATGGGGTCCCTTGAAGGGGACCCTCTTTCCCGCATTCGGGGGAAGGTTCTGCCCCCCTCCAGCTGGTCTTTCTCCCCACAGGTCCCTTCCTCACTTGCAGGCGCGGCTGGACAGCCTTTACTACTTGGTGAGCCACAGACCGGGCAGCCCCCGGGCAGGCTGTTATGTTTGTCCTCAGGAACAGGGTTTCGAGACAAATCTGTTTTTGCTAACTTTGGGGCAAGTGAGTTACCCCCAGTGAACCCCAGCTTCCTGTGACTTGTTCTTAATAATACTCTTGCTGTGAAAACTAGGAATTCCATATTTAAAGGAAGGGCTTTTTTAACTCGCAGCACATGGCTAGAGTCCCTGCCCTGGAGGTGCGTATGTTCTAGTGTGCTATGTTTTCTAGAGCTTTCCATGGTGTTCTATAGCCACCATGTCCAATAGGACACCTGCCAGCCATATGTGGCAATGGAGCACTTGTAAAGGCCTGAATGTTGAACGGGTTTAAATTCAGATAGCCGCACCTGACTAGTGGCTATCACATTGGACAGGGCAGCTGTAAGGGGATGAGAGGGACACATAAGTAAATAGAAAAAAACAAAAACAAAGTCAGCATTGAAAGGAAAATAGAAAATGATGAGCCGAGAATAAATAAAGGTTCTGAGCGAGGGTAGTCAGAAAGGGCTTCTGAGGGGAAGTGATGGTCACAGAGGATAAGGCTCCTGCACCCCAGAGAGAGCAGGGAGAGGTGGTCCTGGCAGTGGGCACTGTCTGTGCAAGGGCCCTGGGGCAGGATGGTGTGTGACGTGTTGGAGGAACCGTGAGGAGGCCCGTGTGCTTGGAGCAGAGTGAGCCAGCGGTTGAGGATGGGACGGAGGAGGGTGGGGAGAGGTCTCAGGGAGGGCCTTTGGCCCTCACACCTAGAATGGAATCAGGGGTCTCCCTAATTGGCTCTCATTTTGAGGGTATGAAGGGCCATCCTGTTTGATGAGAGTAGGGGCCAGAGAGGTAAAGTGACTTGCCCAGGGTCACACAGCTGGGGAGAAGCATGCACAGCATTCAGATTCCAGATCCCTGCCCACTTCCACTGACCACCGCCCGGTCTGATCCCTGCTGTTCCTTTGTAGATCCAGAAAGTTCGGCAGGATCTGCAGGAACACCACAGGCAGGTGAGTCACCGGGGACTCTGGTGACAGTAGCCTCTCCTGGAAAGGCAGGGGAGAAGGGGAGGAGGTGAAAGCAGGGTGGGGGCGGGGGCGGGGGCAGGTCATTCAAGGCTTTTTGGGCCTCGGTAGGACTTGTGCTTTTTACCCCAGGGAGGTGGGAGCCCTGGAGGGCTGTGGGCAGAGGAGGGGTGGGGCCTAGGACCCCCCAGGATATCAGTGGATCCGCACATCTTGGGAGTGCATCTCCCATCCCCTCTCTGAGCCTCTTCCCCCTGGCCTGCTCCCTGGGTTCCTGCGCGGCTCAGACGAGTCCAGGAGTGTTTTTCACACTTTGCGGGTCAGTTGCCTCAGCTCTGAAGGGCCTGTTGCGTGTGCCAGACATACCTGGATTACCATCTTCCTTATGTCTGAGAGTTCTCAAGGGCCTGGCTCACCGCTGAGCCAGGGACAGGTCTGCACCAGAGGCCCTGGCTCCCTTCGCAGGGCGCCTTGCCCGGGCTGAAGCCTGACTTCCACCCCTGCCTGTCCTCCTGCCACCTGGCCTCTCTCTCCTGGGCGCTGGCAGGACTTTCCTGCCTGTGCCAGATGTGACTGGCAGAAGGCCAGGGCCGTGTCTGCGATTTAGCAGGGACTGGGGTGGGCAGCTCGGGGAACCGGGAGAGACAGATGGGGGAGAGAGGCAGGAAGCAACCAGAACAGTTATTCATTCAACAGATATTTATCTATCACCTTGCCAAGTGCTGTTGTAGGCGCCAGGAAAATAGCAGAGAAGAACACAGACAAACCCTGGCCCTCGGGGTGAGAGGAGCTTGGTAAATAGAAGTGTCAGATGGTGAGGGCCAGGCAAGGTGTACGTGGAATTGAGCAGCCCCACGGTGGACGTGGCGGGGATGGGGGGCAGAATGGGAGTGGGTTGCAGTCCGGGGTGGACAGGAAAGACTCGCTGAGAAGGTGGCATCTGAGCAGAGAACTAAAGGGGGGAGGGGAGCGGACCGTGAAGGTATCTGAAAAACAGCACGTGCGAAGGACCTGGGGCAGTCCCTGGCCTGGCATGCTGGAGGCACAGCAAGGAGGCTCTGGTGCCTGGAGCAGAGTGAGACGGGAGGCAGCGAGGGCAGGTCGTGCAGCACTATGTGAGCCACGGGGAGGACTTGGGCTTACACCGCAGTGGGGATGGGAGCCCTGGAGGGCTGTAGGCAGAGACAGGACCTGACTCAGGTGCTCGCAGGCGGTATCTGACTGCTACAGGGATGACTGGCTGTAGCTGTGCAGGAGCTGTGTGGGGGTTGGGGGGCCAGGTGATGGATGTGTGTCACTTAGAACAGTTATGTGGTGAGAAGTAATCAGATTGTGGACCGTGTTTGGGGGAGGGGCCAGAGAGCTCTTACTGAGGATCAAGGCTTAGGAGGGGGCACGGCCCCAGGATGGGGCACTTCTGTTGCTGCTCAACCCAGGAGTGTCCTCCCCCCGCAGGTGATGATTCTAGCAGCCTTGATGGCCTTTTGGTCCTCAATAGCCCACTCCCCCCTCCCCCTCTTCTCGATTTCCTCCTCGTTTTCCCAGCCTCCTTGCTGTGCATTTAAAATACAGGCAGCAGCAGCAGCAGCAGCAGCCAGCCAGCTACTCCCACTCCCACTACTCCCCACCGTCTGCCTGCACACAGCCTTCCCCAGGGAAGGCCAGCCAGCAGGCAGGAGGGAGCAGCACTTTTCATGCTGAGTGCATTAAAGTGCCAGTAAATTGCGCATTAACGAGCCAGGGCGAATTGGGGAAGGCTCCCCTGGGCCTCCTGCGGCTGGGAGGCCCAGCTGGGGAATCCATCACGGAGGGCCCCAGGAGGCGCTGCCCTGAGCTCCATGGCTCAGAGAGAGGCTCCTACACCCCAAACCCTCCCACCACCCTGTTTGCCCAACGGGCAGGGGGGGAGAGACCAGGCTGTTCCAAGAGGCGGGTAAACACTGCCTGGCCACCTCCCCCCTCCCCCCACTCCCACCCTCCTCTGGCTTAGGGGAATTGGCTTTACTTCTCTGGGCCTTAGTTTTCTCGCCTGCAAAATGGGGATGGCAGGAATGCCTGTGAGACAACCGACTGCCATGTATGCTTATGCTGCATTTCCTTATGATTTTTCTTTGTGCATCAGGACATTTCCCAGGTATTTTGGGGTTTGATCTGGGCCAGCAGGCTTTGGGGAGCTTCTGGAGGGCCGTGGGAGCCGTAGGCCAGCAGGCAACGGTGCTATCATCCTAAACGGTAGCCATGGGCCCGTGTGGCTGTTGGACTTGAACAAGTGGCACCCATAGTCACATGTCAAGTGCTCCATTGCCATATAGAGCTGGCAGCTGCCCCGTTAGACAGGCAGCTCTAGAACAACTGCCTGGCACTGTGTTTCGTCTGGTCCTGGATTAAACACGGCTGCACATGCGCACGTTTCCACACGCCCCTTCTTGGGAATGCTGGCCGGGAGGTCCCGGCCTTGTTTGCTCTCGTCTCAGCCGCAGGCACGTTCTCGGAATCACTGTCCTTGGTTCTAGGCGCTCGTGCCATCTGGTTTGCAAGCCCCTGGCCCACGTGACTGCTGAGCATGGGAAATGTGCCTGTGGGCACTGCAGGAATGTCCTTCTTCATTGTCCGTAGCTCTGTGCAAACAGCCATCGTGGCTGGCAGCTGCTGTGTAGGGCTGCACAGTCCCATGGACGGAGAGATTAAAAACAAACCCAGGCCCTAACCGGTTTGGCTCAGTGGATAGAGCATTGGCCTGCGGACTGAAAAGTCCCAAGTTCGATTTCGGTCAAGGACATGTACCTTGGTTGCAGGCACATCCCCAGGGGAATGTGCAGGAGGCAGCTGATCGATGTTTCTAACTCTCTGTCCCTCTCCCTTCCTCTCTGTAAAAAAAAAATCAGTTTGCCGAGACCGGTTTGGCTCAATGGAAAGAGCGTCGGCTTGGGGACTGAAGGGACCCGGGTTCGATTCCGGTCAAGGGCATGTACCTTGGTTGCGGGCATGTCCCCAGTAGGGGGTGTGCAAGAGGCAGCTGATCGATGACTCTCTCTCATCGATGTTTCTAACTCTCTATCTCTCTCACTTCCTCTCTGTACAAAATCAATAAAATATATTAAAAATAAAATAAAATAAAATAAAATGTAAAAAAAAAAAAAAAAAAAAAAATCAGTTAAATATATTTTTTAAAAAACAAAAACAAAAAGCCCAGTATCTGTGTCAGATCAGTGCCCTAGAGAAAAGGGAGGAGGATATGTGGTAGGGAGGAGCATATTCTAAAAGAGCCCTAGCTAGTTTGGCTCATTGGATAGAGTGTTGGCCCAAACATTAAAGGTCCCGGGTCTGGTTCCGGTCAAGGGCAAGTACCTTGATTGCAGGTCAGGGTGCATGTGGGAGGCAACCAATTGATGTGTTTCTTGCATCGATGTTTCTCTTTCTCTATCTCTCCCCCTCCCTTCCACTCTTTCTAAAAATTGACAAGGCTCTAGCTGGTTTGGCTCAGTGGATAGCGTGTCAGCCTGCGGACTCAAGAGTCCCAGGCTTGATTCCGGTCAAGGGTATGTTGGGCACATCATACCCTTGGTTGTGGGCACATCCCCAGTGGGGAGTGCGCAAGAGGCAGCCAATCGATGTTTCTCTCTCATTGATGTTTTTAACTCTATCCCTCTCCCTTCCCCTATGTAAAAAAAAAAAAAAAAAATCAATAAAATATATTTTAAAAAATAATTGATGGGAAAATATCTTCTGGTGAAGATTAACAACAACAAAAAAGAATAGGTAGGTAGGCTGGTGGGTAGGTAGAAAAAGGAAATTTAAAGATAGGTCACTCTGTCCCTTCCATGTCCACAGAACCTTTAAAAAAAAAAAATATATATATATATATAAATATATATAAAAAATAAATATATATAAAAATATATATATATTTAAAATATATATATAATATATATATATATATTTTTTTTAAAGGTTCTGTGGACATGGAAGGGACAGAGTGACCTATCTTTATATACACAATTATATATACAATTGATTTTTTTACAGAGAGGAAGGGAGAGGGATAGAGAGCCAGAAACAATGATGAGAGAGAAACATTGACCAGCTGCCTCCTGCACACTCCCCACTGGGATGTGCCCAAAATCAAGGTACATGCCCTTTACCAGAATCAAATCCGGGACCCTTCAGTCCACATGCCAACGCTCCATCCACTGAGCGAAACCAGTTAGGGCTCCATAGAACCTTTTAAAATATATATTTTTTATTGATTTCAGAGAGGAAGGAAGAGGGAGAGAGAAAAGAAACATTAATGATGAGAGAGAATAATTAATCGGTTGCCTCCTGCACACTCCACACTGGGTATGGAGCCCACAACCATGCCGGGAATTGAACTGTGACCTCCTGGTTCATGGATCGATGCTCAACCACTGAGCCACGCCTGCTGGGCTCCACAGAACTTTTTTTTTTTTTTTTTTTAAATAAAGGCTGTTTGTTTTTTTAAAAATTGTTTTTTGTTAATCCTCACACGAGGATATTTTTCCGTTAATTTTAAGAGAGAGGGAAAGACAGAGAAATATCGATGTGAGAGAAACACACCAATTTGTTGCCTTCTGCATGTGCCCTGACCAGGCCCTGACCAGGGCCTGGGCTGGGGAGGAGCCTGCAACCAACATATATGCCCTTGACTGGAATCAAACCCGGGACCCTTCAGTCTGCAGGCTACTGCTCTATCCACTGAGCCAAACCAGCTAGGCTATTTTAAATATATATATATATATATATATATATATATATATATATATATATATATTTAATCATTTTCTTTTTAAAATATATTTTATTGATTTTTTTTTTTTTACAGAGGGAAAGGGAGAGGGATAGAGTTAGAAACATCGATCAGCTGCCTCCTGCACACTCCCTACTGAGTATGTGCCCGCAACCAAGGTACATGCCCTTGACCAGAATCGAACTTGGGACCCCTCAGTCCGCAGGCTGACGCTCTATCCACTGAGCCAAACTGGTCAGGGCTATTTTTAATCATTTTAGAGAGGAAGGGAGAGGGAGAAGGACACACACACACACACACACACACACACACACATATCAGTGATGAGAGGGAATCATTGATTGCCTCCTGCATGCCCCACACTGGGGATCGGGCCGCAACCCAGGCCTGTGCCCTCACCGGGAATTGAACTTTGACCTCCTAGTTTCATAGATTGAGGCTCAACCACTGAGCCATGCCAGCCGGCTCAGGCTTTAGTTTTCAGGCATCCCAAGAAAACAGTTAGGATGTGAACCCACATCTGACTCCGCTGTCTACCATCCTAAAGCAGCAGTGTCCTCGGGATAGATCTTGTCGGCCCCTGCCGAGGCTGGCTTCTGGGTACCCCGAACGTGCTTTGTGCTATGTAGTGCAGAGGGCTCTGTGTGATCGGTAATCACCCCGGGATGTTCAAGGTAGGTGGTGTATCCCCATTTCACACGCAGGGAAACTGGCTTGCAAGTGGGGGTTCGCACCCCAGGTCTGTCCAATGACAAAGCTTCAGCTGGAATAATGTTTCCCTCCTCCAGACAGAACACTTTCGGCGGCTCATGGAGAGATGCCGCCAGTCCCAGGTCCAGCCGCGGGAGGTAGGTTTCTGGGTCTTCCCGGGGTGTGTGTGTGGGGGGGAACAGGCGCGGGCACACCCTCCCGTCCCTCACCGCCCGGTGAACCGGGTCTCCTTTGCCGAACAGGCTGACCAGGACGCCTGGGGGCCCGCCAGTCCCACGGACAAGCCCCCTGAGCCCTCCGGTCTGCAGGGGCCAGACTTCGCAGACGTCATGGCAACCAGGTCATCCGACTGGTTCCAGCAGCCCTCTGGAGCGGACGGCTCCTCAGCTCTCCAGCTAGACACATTGTTGTCCTGCGACTCTGAGCCCCAGTTTTGGCAGGATGTTCTGACCCAGCAGCTCTGGCAGATTCTCGCCGGGACCCCATCGAGGCACAGGCGTGAGTCTCCCCGGGGCTGGGAGGCGGGCACCCCTCGTGGAGGTCGGCGCAGGCTGAACCTTGTCTCCACCGTCTCTCCCGCCCTCCCCCGCTCCCGCCGTCACAGGGCCAGAACAGATGCCGGGCCTGGTAAGTGAGGGGCTGGCGGTGATCCCGGCCGGGCCCCGCGGGTGTTCGCCCACCTCCTCCACCCTCAGCCCTTCCGCCCCTCCACGGAGCCGGGGCTCTGGCCGAGGCGTCTCCGCTCTGCCTGGATCCGCGGACTGGGCCGTGGCCGTGGCCCAGTCCCGGCCTCCCTGCCTGCGCGTCCCTGCGGTTTTCTGGTTCTAAGACTGACCTTGGGCAGGTCCTTTGGTCTGACCCCGTTTCCTGCCGGCAGGAGAGCCAGAACGTGGGACCCTTCTACTTTGGAGCGGAGCCCTACATGGAAGATACCCTGGGTAATTCCAGCGGGATGGGGGGAGAGGGGAGAGGGGTCAGGCAGCCTATTCCGGGGGGCCATACCTGCTGCTAAACTGCTCTGGTCTCAGCCCCGCTCTCCACCCTCCTGTGCCCCCTCCCCCCCACCGCCCCTCCAGGTTTCCAGGAAGGGAGCACAGGGCCGGGCATGGCACCAGGGGCGATGCTGTCCCATGTGGCCCAGGTGAGACCCAGGCAAGAGCCAGGCATGAGTTGGTCCCCCCCACATTGACAGTCTGGGGCTCTGGGGCAGAGAGGGCCGACATTGCTCAGCTCTGATCCCGGTCCACCCGCAGGAGCCTGCCAGGAGAACCTGTCGCCTTCTGAAGCCCATGTAAGTGCTAGACCTGCCTCTCCCCTCGGTGCCTCTGTCCCCAGGAGGTGGGGGAGCCCAGGGGTGAGGCGTGCCCTCCTCTCCCCTCCCCATCGCCACCGTACTGTCCTCCGTAACTGGAGAAGAGGGGTCTGGGTAGGGAAGTGAAACTCCAGTTACCTTCATACCAACATCACTATCCCTCCCCACCCACATCACCAGCCCAGGTGCACGGGGTTTGGAAGGGGGAGGGAGAGAGGCTGCTTCAGAGCTGGAGGCAGGCACCCCCAACCTTGTGGCCTGAAGCTAGGGGAGCCCAGGTGTGGGGAGAGACCGTTGGCCTGGAAGCAGGGGCATCATGGCTGGGGCTTTGTGGGATGAGCAGGAGTTTTCCAGGGGGGCAAATCATTGCAGGCAGAAGGGAGCAGTATTTGGTTATGGGACAGGGAGAATACTTGGAGGGAGGTGGGTAGGAGATGGGGAGAGCGTAGTGTAGCGTAGCCGGGAAAGAAGGCCTGAGAGAAAACCCCCACATCCGAAAAAGAGAGAGAAAAGTCCCTGGAGGGCTTGATGGGTGCCTCCCTGTGGGCAAAGGGGCTCACAGGCGGTGACCCCAAGGTTTCCCCTCCTAAGATGCTGGGACTCTGAGGACTTCGAAGTCTCCTGGGAGAGGCCAGATGCGTTGCCCTGGCAACCCAAGAAGCTGGCCGTCCCACACAGAATAAGGCTGGTGCGGACGCTGCGGCCCGGGGAGTCGGTGCTGGCCACGGCCGTGAGCAGCTTCACGCGGCACGTGTTCACCTGCGGCAGGGACGGCGTCCAGGTGTGGAGCCTGGCCGGCCAGAAGGTGGAGGACAGGTTCCCCGTGAGCCACCTGCGCGTCGAGGTGAGCGTGGGCTGGCTGCGGGCGGAGGCCTGTGGCAGCGGGAAGCGCTGCCGGCCGGGAGGACGCTCACTGTGCCTCTGCCCATCCAGGACTCATTCGCCTACCTGCGCACCTGCCTGCTGTTCTCCAATAGCACCACGCTGCTGACGGGCGGCCACAACCTGGCCGGCGTGAGCGTCTGGGACCTCATGGCGCCCTCCCTGCGCGTCAGAGACGAGCTGCCCGCGCCACACCTCACTTGCCAGGCCCTGGCTGCCAACCTGGAGGACAGCCTGGCCTTTGCCAGCTTCACGGAAGGCAACATCAGGATCTGGGACCTGCGGGACCACAGTGTGGTCAGGTGTGGCCCCTTCACACATCCCCCGCTGGGCCGGGACTCAGCAGTCCCAAGGCCTGCTTACTTGAACTCAGACCTGAAGGGGTTGAAGACCCGGGTTCAAATCTTGGCTGGGCTGTTTCCTCAAAGCCCGGTCCTGGTACTTTTTTTTTTTTTTTTTTTTTTTTTTTTGTCGATCTCCGTTTCCTCACCTGTCAGCTGGGGATGGTTGGGTGAGGGAGGTTCCTTGGGCCCAAAGCTTAGAGTCCCCGTCCCAACCCCCTTCTGCTGCTTCTCCTGGCCAGGGACCTGCCGGGCCCTCCGCATGGAGTCAAGAGCATTGCAGTCAAAGACAGTAACATCTGGGCGGGGGGCCTGGGGGCCTGCCTGCGGTGCTGGGACCTGAGGACCAAGGAGCCCCGGGAGTACCAGTATGAGTCTCAGGTGAGCCGGCTGGGCGGGCGGGGGCCTGCTGGGCCAGGTAGCAGCTGGGTCTCGGGCTAGAGAAGGAGGTGGACGCTGTGAGGTCAGTTGGGGGGGGGGGTAGCGATACCCCAAGTCTTGGTGATGCTGGGAGGAACAGGGGCCATTCGACTTGTCCTTTCCTGTTGCCCATATAGCCTTGGATACTTGCATAGTCTTTGTGATAATTCCATAAAGCAGACAGGACCAACCCATTCTACAGATGAGCACACCAAGGCTTGGGGATGTGAAGTTGCTTGCTGGGGCCCTTGCAGCCAGGAAGTGGGCAGGCGGTCCTTTCCTGGGGTTGGTTCCCGTACCGCCGCCCACCTCCTGGGCCAGGCTGGGCCCTGACCAGGTCCTTGCCTGCCACCTACCCCCAGATCATAAGCCTGTCCCCCAGCCCCCGGGAGGACTGGGTTCTGGTGGGCACAGCCAATGGCCAGCAGTGGCTGCAGTCCACCCTCGGGGACCAGAGGCACATGGTGGGCTGTAAGGAAAGCACCATCCTCGGTCTCAAGTTCTCCCCTCTCGGTGAGTGGCCAGGAGGGAGTGGGGGAGTCCTCTGTGGCCCCCAGCCGGCCCCAGGGCCCCACCCCACTGTGACGGGGCCCAACCCCTCCGACCTTCCCCGAGCCCCTTCCTCCCCTCTGCCCTTCATCAGCATGAACCTCTCACACCGATGCTACCCTGGGGATGTGTGGGAGGTGGGGGTTCCCTCCATTTCCCAGATCCCCAGGAGGGTGGCCCTCAGCTGCCAGTTCTGACTTGGTACCCCTCTGCCTCCTTCCAGGCCAGTGGTGGGTGAGCGTGGGGATGGACACCCTGGTCAGCATCTACAGCATGCCCACAGGAACCCTGCAGTTCCAGGTACCATGGAGGCTGGGGCGGGGGGGCAGTGCTAGCCCGGAGTCCCGGTGCAAAGGGCCCGTAGGGACCACATTTGAACGGACAGACACGGGTGAGTGAGGCCCCCCCCCCATGCTGTGCTCCCTGATCCTCCCAGGTTCCCGAGAAAATGTCTGTCATGTGCTGTGACGTTTCCCCCAACAACCGCCTCATCGCCACGGGGACCAGGGAACATGCCTCCGTGTACCAGATCATGTACTGAGGGGCTCGCCACTGCCGTCTCAACTCGGGGTCCTTGCCCCCCAGTGAGGGGGGTAGCGGTGGAGGGTCATGGTGGGTGGGCCGGTGATCTTTGTCACGTGGAATAAAGCAACTGGAAAAAGCAGAGCTGCGCTGGTCCTGTGCCCTGAGCCATGTGCCCTGGCCATCTGGTGAAGATCTGGAAGGACTTTGTCCAGCCTGGGTCTCTCAGCCTTTGAGTCCATATTCTCTGAGAATCTGACCAAAGCCACTGACCCCTAGCCCTAGGTGGTTTGGCACAGTGGATAGAGCGCCGGCCTGTGGACTGAGGGTTGCAGGTTCGATTCCTGCCAAGGGCATTAAAAAAAAAAAGCCACTAACCCCCGCTTTGGGGGGGTTGGGATATGGAGCACTTCCTCCTGTTCCCCTCAGCTAATCTCTCCTCATCTCAGAGTTTTTCTGCCACTTCCTGCAAATTCCAGGGATGGAGTTCTGGGTCCTTCCGAAAACACCCTGTCTGACTGGACTAGACCAGGGCTTCTCCCCCTCCCAGTGGACTCCGACACCGCCATTGGCTCACCTGTCCTTCCGGGATAAGGAGTCCCCAATGGCACCCACAGGCCTAGCTCCTCAGCCAACCACAGAATTCTCTTCCTCCGTGAAGAATCTGCAGAAACTCCACCTGGGTGTGGCGTTTGCTTCCAACAGGGACCCTGTCACCCTGCCAGCTCCCGCCAGAAGGTCCCAGCATCATCCCTCGTGGTCCCCCAGCCCCTTCTAATCCATGGTCCTTGTGGCAGCCCAAGGGAGCTTCCAGCCCAGATCTGATTACGTCATCACCGCTACCAGCCCCGCCCCCTCTGGCTCCTACTTCGTGGCCTCTGCTTAAGCTTGATCTGGAGACCTCACTCCTCCCCTGTAGCTGAGGAGGAACCTGTCCATGTGTGTGTGTGTGTGTGTGTGTGTGTCCCCGTCTCCGTCTCACCAGGCCGAGCTCCTTACGTACCTGAGTCTGCAGGTGCTGCTCCCTTTGTCTTTGTGGCCCTTCCTCCTTCACCTGGTGGCTCAGCCACTCCCCTGGGACTGGGACTTTGGCTGACGATGACGGTGGGCCCAGCATCGTGTGCCCGGCTCTTAGGAGTTATCTCTGGGCCTCAAAGGAGACACAATTCCACCCCAAACAGCCCCATGCACCACTACAAACCTCAACTTTGTAAATGGGAAATGTCTTGGGATGATTCCGTTCAAAAGGCTGGCACTAGCCCTATCCGGTTTGGCTCAATGGATAGAGCGTCAGCCTGTGGACTGAAGGGTCCCGGGTTCGATTCTGGTCAAGGGCATATGCCTGGGTTTTGGGCTTGATCCCCAGTAGGGGGCATGCAGGAGGCAGCCCGTCAATGATTCTCTCATCACTGATGTTTCAGTCTCTCTCTCCCTCTCCCTCTCTCTGAAATCAAAAATATATATTTTTTAAAAAGGCTGGCACTAAAAGTGATCACATGAAACTTTTGGGCTAAGGGTTTAAAAGCCATGTATGACCCATCTTCCTGGTATATTGGACCCTGAAGTTATATATTGAGGTGGTGGCACCTCTGCCAGCCTGGAGCCCTGAGTGTACCTGGAGTTGAGCCCCGAATACCACATGGACTCTCCAGAGAAATATTGTGTTCAACCACTGAGCCCTGGGGCCATTTGTTACACGGCAAGCCTTGAGCCACACTGCCCAATACAGCACAGTGTCTCATACATAATGAGTGATCTCATCCAGATTAGGGAAAAGGAAGACACCCTCACAGCTAGAAAGTGACCTTCCTTCAATAGCAGTTGCCCACGAAAAGCCACAGTACCCAATTCCCCGGCCCAAGACGGAAGGAAATTGTGACAAATACATTTATTTCCCCCAAGTCCCTCTGCCCATCTGGCCCCCACATCCAGCAGAGAAAGATGGGAGGGGGTTGGCCAGAGAGCAGATGAGATCTGGCGCCCACAGGTACAACTAGGGAGCAGGGCGTTGGGGTCTCTTCTGCACACCCTGCCCCCAGGTGTGCGGGAAGGGGGTGCTCTCAGTAGACCACCTCGTACACAGTGGCCTTCTTGTCCCCCGAGCCCGTCACGATGTACTTGTTATTCCCAGAGATGTCGCAGCTCAGCACGGAGGAGGACTCCTTGGACTGTGGAAGGGAGGAGAGAAGGCAGGGGTGAGGCGTGGCTGACACCCACAGGCTGCTGGAGCTCCCAACGACCTGCACCACATCCGTCCGAAGGGAAGAGGCGAGGTGCCTGGGGCCATGGCCAGCCTCCAAGGAAGAGCCCAGAGTCAAGGTGGGGCCAGCACAGGACTCAGGATAGGAGAGCCCCGAGTGGGAGCCAGGAACAAGGAGGCGACCCACGTCCCAGAGAAAGGTCTTTCTGGACAAGTGAGGATGCAGGACCTCGAGGGAGGGGGGGCTGGGGCACTGCCTCTTCCTGGGAGGCTCAGAGTGCGGGGCAGACGCCCGGCACACAGAGGGCCACCCTCAGGGCACGCTGACCTCCTCAGGGCGCAGCCAGCTCCCCGCTCAGCCACAACAGTAAATTTCCAGGCGTGGCCCCAAATCCAAATAGGACATTAGCCATTAAATCCAGAGACTAAATAAATCAACCTCACTTTGTTTTTTTACAACCCTTTAAAAATGTAAAAACCTCTTCCCGCCCACCAGGATGACTAGAATACAAAAGACACAACAGCCTTAACCAGAGCGCTCAGCTGGTTGAAAGCTGTCCAGTGCGCCGAAAGGTAGCTGGGTCATTTCCTGGTCAGGGAACATACCTGGGTTTGGGTTTGATCCTCAGTCAGAAAGCGTAAGGAAGGTAACCCAATCCATATCTATCTCTCTCTCTCTCTCTCTCTCTCTCTCTCTCAGTATGTCCTCAGGTGAGGGTTTAAAACAAACAAAAACACACAATAGCAAGCCTTGCTGAGGACGGGAGAATTGTGAACACTCCTCTGCTGCTGATAGGAAAGGAAAATTTGGAAAATCTTGCAGTTTCATTGAAGATTAAATTATCAGCAATTCCACTCCTAGGGATATGCCCAGGAGAAATGAAAATGTGTCTGCACCGCCGGGACCGGTTTGGCTCAATGGATAGAGTGTCGGCTTGGGGACTGAAGGGTTCCGGGTTTGATTCCGGTCAAGGGCAGGTACCTTGGTTGTGGAAACATCCCCAGTAGAGGGTGTGCAAGAGGCAGCTGATTGATGATTCTCTCTCATCGATGTGTCTAACTCTATCTCTCTCCCTTCCTCTCTGTACAAAATCAATAAAATATATATTTTTTTAAAAAAGGTGTCTGCACCAAAACATGTATATGAATGTTCACAGCAGCATGATTCACCATCAACAAAAGGCAGACATAACCATATGTCCATCGACAGTCGAGTGGGCAGTGTCCATTCGTACAATGGAATATTATTCAGCCCCAAAGAGGAAGGACATGAGACCCTGCTACAGAGTAGATAAGCCTTGAGGACGTGATGCTCAGTGAACTAAGCCAGAGACAAAAGGTTAAATGCTGTGTGACTTCTCCCGGGAGGTCCCTAAAGGAGCCAGAGCCCTCGAGAGAGCGGGTCTAGATGGCGGGGCGGGAGGGAGGCGGGGGAGGGAAGGAGGGGGAGCAGGAGGAGGAGTTAGTGTGGAATGGGAATATAATGTCAGTTTGGGAAGATGAGAAGGTTCTGGAGGTGGATGGCGGTGATCACAACAGTGTGAATATACTTTAGTGCCACTGAGCTGTGCACCTAAAAATGGTTAAGATGGCACGATTTTTTACATTTTACCACAATGAAAAGGAAAAGGGGCTGTATCAAATTATCTCCCTCCCTCCCTCTCTCCCCCCTCCCTCTCCCCTCCCTCCCTCCCTCCTTCCCTCCCTCCCTCCCTCCTTCCCTCCCTCCCTCCCTTCTTTCTTCCTTCCTTCCTTCCTTCCTTCCTTCCTTCCTTCCTTCCTTCCTTCCTTCCTTCCTTCCTTCCTTCCTTCCTTCCTTCCTTCCTTTTGTATATGTGTGTCCCATGCAATATTTAGGACAAACTTATACTTTAAAAAATTGTTAGCCTATGCCGAAGCCGGTTTGGCTCAGTGGTAGAGCGTCGGTCTGCCGACTGAAAGGTCCCGGGTTCGATTCCGGTCAAGGGCATGTATATTGGTTGCGGGCGCATCCCAGGTAGGGGGTGTGCAAGAGGCAGCTGGTCAATGTTTCTCTCTCATGGACATTTCTAGCTCTCTATCCCTCTCTCCTCCTCTCTGTGAAAGATCAATAAAATAGATTAAAAAAAATTGTTAGCCTAAGTAAACCCCATACAATATTTGAGATGTATGAACTGCTTTTTAGTTTGCTGACCCATCTGCGGGTGAGACGGAGGACCCAGGAGCGGCTCTCTGTCTCACTGCCAGGGCAGCTGCCCTGGGGCCCTGGGCACGTGGCACCCTGCCAGGGGCTGGGCTCCAGGCTGCCCCCACGTACCTGGAAAATGCTGGCACCATATGGCGTCCTCCAGGCGTTGAGCAGGTTGTCCTTGCCGGTGCTCACGAACCACCGCCCTGGGGGAGGAGAGCAGGGGTTGGAGGAGGGAGGGCTGAGGAAGCCTGGGCTGGGCCTGCTGGCCAAGGGGGGCCTGGCCTCTCCCTTTAGGGAGACACAAGCTCCCTGGGGGAACGGAGGCTTGAGCCTCCCATTTCCCAGAGGGTAAAGTCAAGGTCCCAGGGCTCCATCTGATCTTCAAGAAGGGGTGCCTGGGAGAGGGCTGGCCAGACAAAATGCACATGCCCAGTCACATTGGAATCGTGAGGAACCCCAAATTATCTTTAGTGCAGGTGTCCCAATGATCTTTCTTTCTTTCTTTCTTTCAAATATGTCTGTCCCATGCAGTATTTAGGACATACTTATACTTAACAAAATTGTTAGCATAAGTAAACCTCATACAATATTTGGATGTATAACTGCTTTTTAGTATAAGTATATCCTGTGCATTATTTGGGACATACTT